ACCAGGGCAGAACTCGAGTCTTCCATCCCTTGCGATCAATTATGAAAATTCATTTCCATTTTTCTATGACCGTCGGGGATACCTGCTCCCGAAGGCGTCGTGCGCGCCCGAATGGCGTTGAAGCACCGCTTGAGAAGTTTCATGCCCTTTCTTCTCACAGCAGGGGTCGCAAGAGTATCCTCTAGGGGTCGCAACCCGCAAACGTCCATCGGAATATCATACCCGCCCTTGCTCGGAGAATCACCAACCATATCACAATCATCGGTCATGTGAGACCTTGCTGCAGCACGTAGAAGCAGTGTAGTCGAAGTTAACTCAGGTTCAGTTCGAAACTCGCTGGATCTGCGCTGACAAAGGTCACCTGCGAATCTCGATAAGTGGGCTCGGCCCGAAAACCGCTGCGGACAACTGCTACGATGATGAGCCGAGGACGGCCCTAGTGTCAAGTTAGAGCAAACATGTCTGCTATGTTTGGGAGGATGGGGGGGCAGGGGAGGACGGAGGTATGATTCAAATTGTAGTGCCAAAGGACTAAAGGATTGAGGAGAAGGGGACATGGTGTTAGGGCCCCAGCGCCACGTGGGAGCCATGTTGGTAACCCGTGAGGGTATATGATGGCGTAGCCTCCGAGACATGCATTAGCCCCCATATGTTGGCGCTTAGATATGTTTATCGAGTTATCTTCGCGGCCAAGTCTCCAGGGTGATTATCGAGTTATCTTCGCAGCACACGGTTATATTGCTTAGGTTGGTGTGCGTATGTTGGTACGCTGGTACCGCTTATGCTTGCGATGTGTGTGCTGGTTTTGATTGCAATGTTTACGTTGGTATGTGTGCGATGACCATGCTTGCTATGGTTATGTTTCTGTGCTACTGCTGCTCATGCCCGTGCTGTAGTCGTAGCTATGTTTATGCTGCTTGCGCTTGCTTCGCTTCGGAGCTGATGCTTGATATATAAGTCTTGACGCTTCGCGTATCCCCGCCAGCCCATCCAGGAACGACGCCCATCCGAGGTGGTGGAGGTAGAGGGGTACGGTGGAGGGGGGGTGGAGGGGGGGGGAGGGGGAGGTGGATGCGGGTGGTGGAGGGGGGGGGGGGGGGGGGGGAGGGGGAGGTGGTCGGGGTGGTGGAATTCGGGGGAGGGGTGAGGGGGGGGGGGCGGGGGGGGGGGGGGGGGGGGGGGGGGGGGGGGGGGGGGGGGGCGGGGGAGGGGGGGGGGGGGGGGCGGGGTTTGTGGCGGCCGTGGGGGGGGGGGGGGTGGCTGGGGGGGGGGGGGAGGGGGGTTGGGGGGGGGGGGGGGGGGGGGGGGGGGGGGGGGGGGGGGGGCGGGGGGGGGGGGGGGGGGGGGGGGTGGGGGGGGGGGCGGGGGGGGGGGGGGGGGGGGGGGGGGCGGGGGGGGGGGGGGCTGGGGGGGGGGGGGCCAAAACAATTAGAGGCATAACAGTTGCATAACCACACCTGATATTGGATCCTGGCTTCTATGCCACGTTTATGCAGGTGTTGGGTGGGCTCGGGAAGCCTCCAAGAGCTCCCAGGAGGCCTCCAAGGGGGTCCCAGGATGGGCCAGGAGGGCCCCAAAAAGGCCCCAAGAGGGCCTTAAGAGGGCCCCAGGAGGGCCCCAAGAGCGGCATAAAAGTGGCAGAACCACACATGATGACGGATCCTGGTTTATGTCCATTGTTATGCAAGTTCTTGGTGGGTTCGGGAGGCACCCAAGAGGTCACAGGAGGCACCCGAGATGGCCCCAGGAGGTCCCAGGAGGGCCCAAGAGGGCTTCAAAAAGGGCACAAGAGGGCCCCAAGAGGGCCGATGGCCCCAAGAGGGCCCCACGAGCAGCATAAAAGTTGCATAACCACACATGGTTCTGGATCATGGTTTATACCATTTTCATGCTGGTTTCGGCTGGGCTCGGGGGGGCCCCACGAGGTCCCATGATGCCCCTCTGGGCTGTGAAGTACCAGCCAGGGCTCCTGTCCTTTCAAGGACAGCAGCTTTGAGGAACGCAGCCGTGTCAAGACAACCTCCTGGAGGCTGTCTTGACACAGCTGCGTTCCTCAAAGTTGTTGTCTTGCAAGCACTGCCCTTAAAAACCATCCCTAACACACGGCCCCTAAATCATCCCTAAAGCACTGCCCCTAAACATCACTAAAGCACGACCCCAAACACATCCCCAAAACACGGTCCCTAAACCATCCCTACCGCACGGCCCACAAACCATCCCTGAAGCACGGTCCCTAAACCATCACTAAATCACGGTCCCTACAGCATCCCTAAAACACGGCCCCTAAACCATCCCTAAAGCACGGCCCCTAAAGCATCCATGAAGCACGGCCCCCAACACATCCTTAAAGCACGGCCCCTAAACCATCCCTAAAGCACGGCCTTTAAACCATCCCTAAAGCACTGCCCCTAACACATCCTTAAAGCACGGCCCCTAAAACACCCCTAGATCATTGCCCCCCACAACATCCCTAAAGCACGGCCCCTACAACATCCCTAACGCACGGCCCCTAAGACATCCCTAACGCAATGCCCCCAACACATCCTTAAAGCACGGCCCCTAAACCATCCTTAACGCGCGTTCCCTAAACCATTCCCAGACCACGGCCCCTAAGACATCCGTTCCTCGTACCCTCTCTCCCTCTCAATCTCTCTCTCTCTCTCTCTCTCTCTCTCTCTCTCTCTCTCTCTCTCTCTCTCTTACTCTTACTCGTACTCTTACTCTTACTCCCCCCTCTCTCTCTCTTCCTGTCGCTGGTGCTGCAGGCTCGAGAAGGATGATGATGATGAGGAGGAGGAGGAGGATGACGAGGACGAGGACGAGGAGGAGGAGGATGAGCAAGGTTTTCAAGTCGGTTCGGAAAAACAACGAAGGACGAACGAACGCGGAGGCAGAATCAGGAGGAGGAGGAGGAGGAGGAGACGTCGCGGCCTGAAGACCTGCGACTAAGCTTCGGCAAGGGGTGGGAGGGCTCCCTGGGGGCGCCAAGAGGTGGGCAGGCGGGCCCCAAGACGGTCTCCGAACACCATCAGGTATTGTGTAAAACCTATCATTGCGAGTTTCTTAAGCGAAGCAAGCAAGCATCAGCTCCTAAGCGAAGCACGCAATCACATCCCACCAGCCCTCTGGGCGTAGAGGACTCTTACGTTCCACCCCCTCGGAACGCCAAGGAATCTTACGGAGTCCTAGGGGGCCTGGGGGGATCCCGAGGAATCTGGGACGCCAAGGAATCGTACGTTCCACCCCCTCGGAACGCCAAGGAATCTTACGGAGTCTTAGGGAGTCTGGTGCTTTGGGGGAATCCCGAGTAACCCAGAGGAACCATCGGACATGTAGGAGCCGCCGAAAAGCGTATGAAATCGTAGGGGGTCCATCCAATCGTAAGGAATGCGAGGGCATCGTAGGACTCCAAGCGTGGGGAACCGCACGGAATCGTAGAGAACCCATTCAATGGTAAGGGATGCAGAGGCACCGTAAAGGATTCAAAGTGAGCGCGGGGAATCAGGGAGGCATCCGAAGGAGTCGTAGGTAATGCAGAGGAGGCGTAGGGTAGCTTATGTTTTGCTAACACAACATGGGTTGATGTGTACTCTGTGGCCAGTTGCTTATGCATTGCTTATGCTTTGCTTATGCTTTGCTTATGCTAACTGCGGGTTGCTTATGCTAACTCAAGGGGTGTTTATGCATTGCTTATGCTAACTGAGAGTTGCTTATGCTAACTGCGGGGTTGCTTATGCATTGCTTATGCTTTGCTTATGCATTGCTTATGCTAACTGGGCGGTTGTTTATGCAAACTGGGGTTGCTTATGCATTGCTTATGCTTTGCTTATGCATTGCTTATGCTAACTGGGCGGTTGTTTATGCAAACTGGGGGTTGCTTATGCATTGCTTATGCTTTGCTAATGCTTTGCTTATGCGAACTCTGGCTGGTCATGTATTCATGCCAACCAAACTAAGTGGCCCTCCGTGGTCCGCGCGGGCAAACTAATTCCCACTACACAAAGAAATTATACTAAACTAACCCACGCTCCGTCTGTCGAGGGGACAAACTATTGGATGGGCGGTAATCTGGGGGGTCAAACAACCTCCGCGTCAGCCGAAGGACGGATAGCTCCAAGGGGACCACCATAGGCCCCATGACAAACTCCAAGATGCCCCTGAGCAGGCCCCAATACGACTCCAAGAGGGCCCCGAGAAAGCTCCAAGAGAGGATCCAAGAAGGGCCGAAGAAGCCCCCAAGAGAGCCCCAAGTGGGCCCATGAGGCCCCAAGGGGAGCCCCAATAGGAGCAACAAGATGTCCCGAGAAAGCCCCCAGAGGGGCCCCAAGAGGGGGGCCAAGAGTGCCTCAGTGGCAAGCCCAGGCTCCTCGCAAGTCCATTTGCCCGTTGTTCCCATGCAGTCCGACGGGTTCCAATTGACCCCTCTGTTCGTTTTTGTTGTTTGGAGGGCGGTCGCAGCTGCTTCGCCTCGTATTCCCTCCGAGTTCCCCATCTTCGGCCTTGTGCATGGGAGCCCGAGATGATGATAATGAGGATAATGGTGGTGATGGTGGTGATGACGGTGATTGTAGTGATGGTATTGGGCATGTTGATATGCCAGAGACGGTACTGATGACGATGATGATGGGTAAGAGATGATTGTGTCGATGATAAGACGACAGATCCAATGACAACCGTGGTGATGGTTATGGTTATGACGATGGTGGTAGCTGCGGTGGTCGTGATGGGCTCGCTTAGCATGCCAGCTCGAGCGAGCCAGTGGGCTCCGCCCAGCGTGACCGTGGCAGCCCCTGAAACACTGGCTGGCGAGAGGCGAAAGCTCTTAGAATCTCAATGGGCATGCGCACTTACAAAAAAACGATTATAGTATGGATACTGTGTGACTGTGATTTGATGGTTTTCTCCAGTCGCAATATTTTCCGCCGTGCCTCGGCTGAGTATTGCAATCTAAGCGTGCAACACAGGATGAGTATCACATCCAACAATCTAGGGCCCGTCTTCTAGTATTGCTGAGTACCATCTTCGAAGAGATCAACCTTTTTGATGCCCTTGGGGTCCCTGAAGTCACCGCGTAGGCCCTCACCGCCAGGGATACCGCCCAGGTGCACTACGCTATCATGCTCTACTAAAGTGTCTGATGCGCTGCTGCCGCCACGCTGAAATTGCTCGACAACGTCGAGGAAAGAGTGTTTCGTCATCTCGGAGGCGTCGCCCGCAATGGTTTTTTGCTTCTTGGCCTCGGGACCCTCCTGCTCGCACTGCTCACCCTGCCCGTCGTTCTTGGCCACGTCAGGCTGGTCGCCCCCGTAGTCGTTTGCGAAGAGCGGTTGCGTTGGCTGGTCCTCGGCCACCTGCGTCGGCGAGTGTCCTGGCTGCCAGACCGTGGGAGTCCTTGCGAGTCTGGACTGGGCGTCCGCTCCGTCAGGCTCATCGTCTTGCGACTCTACTACGATCTCCTCGACCTCCCCAATGCGTTGTTTTTTCTCTGCTGGAGGCTGACTGCTCTCACCCTGCTGCATTCCGTGCAATTCGGGAGGCTCTTTTGATGTGTCCATTGGCTTGCCCTCGAACGTAATCATGATGGGTATCTTGATAACGTCTGTCCTTTTGAATCCTGCTGGGAGCGCCTCCAATCTGATATTGAGCCTAGGGTATTTAGACAACTCAATCTCTGCAAGGTTATCGGGATCGCGCCCACGATCTGCGGCAGAAACAGAACGAGCAGAATGAGTAGCTACGTTAGGGTCTGGCATGTCTGCTGCACTGCTGCTGGTAGCTGGCTGCCTCGAGACTCGAGACAAGATATGGCTACATATCTACTTGAATCCCACCAGCCCTCTGGGCGTAGGTGGTCTAGGGCGTTTCCTCTTCTAGAACCCCCCCTCCCTACCCTCTACCCTGGGGTCTGGTCCCCCTTCTCGTCCTCATCATTCTCCTCCTACTCCTCCTTCTCTTCCTCATCGCCCTATGCATCATCCCTCTCCACGCTCCCACCTTCGCACGGGTCGGAGATCCCCTTCTTTGCTCCCGCGCTTTCTGATCACCTCAACGCGCCTGCGCGTCGTTCCTGGATGGGCGGGTGGGGATACGCGAAGCGTCAAGACTTCAAACCCTCCTGTTTGGTCCACACTCGTAATTGACGTTTGTGATAACGGTAAGCCCTGTGATGCTGGTGATGATGATGATGGTGATGATGGTTTGCAGCGGTCCTCGGAGCGACTCGTCGCGCTGTCTCAGTCCGGCCTCGTGGCCGAGCTTCTACTCGTGCTGAGCTCGTGCTGCCTCAACCCTCATCCCTTGGCTCAGACCTGTACGCCTCATCATCTGACACTTCGCCGCCAATGATTGCCTCACGAACTCCCTGCTCGGCGGTAGCAAAGTCACGGTCAGTCGCGGATTGGATCTGCGATTTGATACGGTGCATGACTGTCCTCATCTCTTTGACGCGCTTTGCCAAAGTCATGTTTTTGATCCTTTCCACACGATACTTGCGCAGCAAAGTCCTCACGCAACTTTTTTCCCTTGAAGGGAGACTCCGTATCCATTGTTGGCCTCGTCCAAGGACTCTGATGGGCGGCATGTCTGATCCGTCCTCGGAGTTACCGTTCACGAAATCTGTGTCAGCGGAAACCAAACACGCTCGAACACACGAATGACTACGTACGGAAACTGCTGATGTTGCTGGCACTGGGACGGGTCCAATGGAGGGTGAGAATGACCAGGAGGAAGGAAGAGGACGGAGGAGGAATGCGTACCCGATCCGAACGGGGGAGGATGGATTGTTGATGTTTTGTTGATGCTTTGTTCGTGATGGCGATATGATGCGATGGTTACTGTTACTTTTACTCACAACTTATGTGCGTCTGCATAGGCGTCCACCTCTGCTTGCTGCGGCGCCCTGTGCTGATGTTTGTGGTCGATGCCAGGAGCGTGCCCTAATTGAAGCCAGGCGCCAAGGAAAAATTCGGGAGCGCGAGGGCCCCATCTGTCAACCCCGATATTTCTAGATCTGAACTTCCTACAATCAACGTGATTAGGATTTGAACAAACAACTCGCAAACCCGAGTGAATGTTGCCATTCGGCTGCCTATGAGTCTCTATCGTAGCACGTTGCCCTTCGATAAAAAGAGGGAGCTCGAATGGGGCGTCGTGCACTGGGGCTGCAGGCGCGGCGTCTGCTCCAATGTCTGGCTCTACAGGGGCGGGCTTGTCGGCAGAACTGCCGTGCTCAGATTCCGAATCTTCCGATTTCTCTGGACTGGGGGGGGCCCCAATATCTCCGTGTATGTCCTCGTCTGGTGGTTTCCAGGTCCCGTCGTCCCCTCCAAGCTCTTCCTCAGAAGGGGCGCGCTTTCTTTTTCGTAACTTGTCGAGGGCAGGGGACACGTCGATGCCATCAGTGGCGCCGCTGTTTAAAAGTTCCAAGTGTTTCTCCTTCTTTTGACCAGCTGTTGCCTTGTGTGGGTACTTCAACAAGACTTGGAAAAACGCATCCGCCTCGTCCGAGCGAAACTCTCGAGCACCTCGCTCGAAAAGCATGTCCAATGATAACAAGCAGAGAAAGTAATACCTCCTACCGACGCGAATCTGTCTACGATCATACATTGATGCCGAGCCTGCGTCTGCGTAGTGCACGGTACCATTGTGAGGTACCCATCCTTGAAATTCCAACTCGTCCCAAAGGCTTAAAGTTGGCCAGGACAATTTACTCCCCGATGGTGCTACATGCTCTGGGTCTGCTGGCGATGCCCTTTGCATCATTCAGAAGATGATCGAATTCAAAAGTGCCTGCAGCCCACGATCTCGATTCCATGAGCCCCTTTTTGAAAGCGTCCAATCCGAAATCGTACGCCAAACCCAACAAACACCCCTTCCTAGGGCAGTCGAACGATTCATCGGCACCCCACTTTTCTGGATGACAGGGACAATAGCCTGCGAACTTCTGGATACCGTACAGCCACTTAGTGAACCACATGACTACTGCGAACTCTTGTCGGAATGTCACACAATTGAATGCGCCCAGTACTGTGTCGAGCCTAACCCTATCTCGAACTTCCCCGAGAGCGTTCCGATCGAAGTGAGCAGCTGCAGACCAGACAAACGAATCCAGACCCCTCAAACATAAGTATAATTTGTTCCACCGCCATGCTGCGAATGTCGGCAGTGACGATTTCGTCATGGTATCTGCAAGACCGTGGAGCCCCCTCTGTTTCCACTTACTGGACAAGGTTTGCTTGATACCCTCAGGCAAGACTGTATCATACCAAGCGCGAGCAGGGACGTGGCGATTGCTCTCCCCCAGTCCTCCTCTCCCTCCCTCACCCTCCTCCCTCTGTCTGTCCCTGCCCCCACCCCTCCACTCAATCCCTCCATGCTCGCCCATTGGGGGTCGGGGGGCTGGTGGCACTGCAACCTCTGACATCAAGCACGGACTGACACTCGATTTAAAACCAGCAACGCCTAAAGTGCATCGATTTTTACCAGCTTGCCAGACCAACGCAAACTCATGCCAAATCTACTGTTGGGCGTGACAAAGGGCATCTTGGGGGTCCAACAGGGCCTCAAGACGGCTCAAGATGGCCTCAAGACGACTCAAGATGGCCCCAAGTAGATTTAGCAGTGGGGGAACGAATTGATCTTTGGGCGCAGTGTCACCAGTTTTGCCCCCCCCCCCCCCGCGGGCGCGCTTGGTTGAAACAGCGGTGTGGCCTCATCCCTAAATAGTGAAGTCATACCCTTAATGCGCTTGAGGAAGAGCGGAAACCATCGTAATCTATTGCAACCAGTGCGGACAAGCAAATCGATCTTGTGCCGCCAGCCTGGGACAACCAGCGCCCGCGGCAGCAGGCAAATTTGTCTCTGAACGGGCGGCAAGCCCAGGCAAACATTGAAATCTGGAAGTAAGTCACTCATTCGTGCCAGATTGGACTCTACACCCATATCTGATATGATAGCTCGTACACGGCCCAACAGAGTTCTCATATTGTCAGCACCGAACATCAAATGGAGTTGCCATAGCAACCCACAACATTTGAACATCGCAGAGAGTTGAGTGCGTTTCAACAGGACTGGAGGAAGCATTTTTGTGAACAATCCTTCGGCGCTTCCGTGCTCAAGTATCTTGATGGTCACGGCCTGCATCTCCCATCCACGTCCTTGAGGGGACCCGTCTATGAATATATATATATGTCCAGTGTGTCCCACCGTGCATCTTTGAAATACGCTTGATTGAGGCGCATGCAGGTCCAATCTAATCGAACTCGGGCTTGACGCAACGTGTCGTACCGAATTCCTCCCAGTTTGTGCTCAGTCTCATTGCGATTTCCATCAGTCACCCTCGAAATCAACTTGACCCATCTTTTAGCTGTCTTCTTAGTGTGTCTCAAAGCTCTTTGCGTCGCAGTCGCACTAATCCAATCGATAATGAGAGATGGCTCCATACCACGTCGCCGTCCGCTGCGGTCGTGCCTGCTCCGAGGCCGCACAGCAGGGACGGAGAAACCATGGCCACGTCTCCACGCATTCAAGACACGCCTCGACGGCCAATGTGTATTGTATTTGCGACAGCGTCTACCAAGCACTACGACATGAAATATTTTTTGAAGCAGTCCCATCAATCCTATTGCAAGAGCTGGACACAGATTGAACACGTCTCCGATTAGCAACATACCGTATTCAGCAGAAACTTGCCTCCAAATGTCGTCCCATGGTTTGGCTGGGGGATCTTCACCATGTATTTTTCTGAGCACGCATCTTTTGTCTTTGAGAATGTTCATTATCTGTTGTGTTGTTATGTCTTCGGGGCAAGCAATTGGAAGGACAAGTTCGATTGTTACTAAAGCTTCGTAAACTAATACACCACAGCATTCAACCCGATGTTTCTGCAAGGCCGATCCTACTATGTTGACCGTCATGTCTTCGTCCAATGATTCAGCTTCTCTCAGCGCAACCAATCTCCATCTGGCAATAGCAATTCCGAAAATTGTACATTGTCTATCAAATTCAGTCGGTTGGATTCTGAATTCCCTGGCCCACAAACCTGATCGGCTGCCAACAACAGGATATGCAACCAATGTTCCAAGTCTCGCGGGAATGTGGGCGTCCGCTGGGCCATGGCCCGCGATGTCGGCATGAATGTCTTGATCGCCAGCTATATCTGATATGGCGTCTTGGCCGCCATCGTCTCCTGCCAACTCATCATCCATATGATGTCGAGCGTTGGTGTGACACCAAGCAGAAACTACAGTGAACGGAAAGCGAATCGTGTTTTCAAACACATGGGCCAACATGATTATGAGGTGGAGCAGGGGGAGCAGCAGAGGCAGAAGCAGCGTTGCGAGAGGATGACCTAAGTTCCCCAAAGACCTCACGACTGCTCCAAGACCACCCAAGATGGCTCCAATATGGCCCACGATGGCCCGAAGCTTGCCTCCAATTTGGGCCCGCGACACACCCAAGACGGCCCGCGATTGCCCCAAGACGTCCCCCGAATCCCTACGTGCACCCAAGACAATCCAAGACGGCCCCACGGCCCCATAAGGTTCTCAAGAGGCCCGCATAGCACATTATGCTTGATGTTTTGAGGCACAGAGCGCTGGGTACAGAATGCGCAAACAAGCAACGCGATGAAGCAAGCAAGGAACAGTTGGCAAAGGCGCATCAAACAAACAACTCTTATTAAGCAAGCGCAATCGCACACATCAACTAGCGGTACATTCGCCATACGTTGAGGCTGAGTTCTTATTGCGTATATATGTTTGCATCTACGGACCATGGCAATGTTCGTATCGCGGTTCGTGGTCGTTTCGACGCAAACATTTCGAAAACAAACAAGTTATATTTTAAACTCATAAATCGTTGTTTAAACTAACTCATTCTGGTTGTTTTGAAGTTGTTTTGGTTAGACTCCCCTCGGAGGGGAAGTGCGCTTAACCGGAGGCGCGGGCCTACCCAGAAGACTCTCTTGTTCCTGAATGCTTCTGAGCACTGCATCGGCGAAGGCCTTGCAGAGCTTAGGGGGGTGCACCTGTGACTTCCTGGTTATGTGTCCCCCCTCCAGGTGATGATGTTCGTGGCCGCCCCTGCACTGCCGTCCTGACAGCTGGCGAAAAAGGGCGGGGTCGTTGGTCATAACACGGGTGGATTTGCGAGAAAGGGCCCCTTCGACCACGGACAGACCGAACTCACGCTGGTCTATGGCCACCTCCATGACCCCCGGAAGCTTCCTGATCATATCCACAACGTGCTTTCGCCAGGACGCGGCCCCATTCGGATGTTCAAAAGCAAAACGTCGACCCTCCTGAACCTGGACAAGTGCCAGCTTCATGCAGAAAGCCAAAAGGTCCAGAGCTTCTCTTTTCTTCCGCTCTTGAACCTCCAGAGGCTCGGGAGAGGTTTTCCGAAAGAGCTCCCGGATCGGACTGAACTCAGCGCACGGGGGTTCCAGGAAAATCATCCACGGCTTCTTGGTCCGAACGAGCTCCATGGCCCTGTCCTGATCGTCTTTCTTCCTAAAATCCCACCCCGTCGCCAGATCGAGACTGCCCAGGGTGCACAGTCCTGCCTCCTCCAGGAGGGGGGCGACTCGGGGTGGAGAGAAAACTTCAAGAAACGACCTCGACTTGAGATCCGAAGAGACCCTGCCATTGGCCACTAGAGACTGAAGCTGTCTCCTCTCGCTCTTAGTGAGAAACACTTCGTGGTCGTCGTTGTTCTGATCCCCGAGGACCGTGTTCGCCCACAAGGGCATAAGAAACTCGATCCCCCGAGACCCGGTCCTGGACAGAGGCCTTGCCCCCATTGACAGAAGCGAATCCAGCACTTGGCGACGCTTGATCTTCCCCGGAGAAACTGAAAAAGCGACCCCCCCGGGATGAGGCAGCTTCTTCGCCGTCAGCTCCTGAGACAGGCGCCCGCTCACGTCCAGCGGCCGTTGTGGAAGGTCTTCCACCCGGCCTCCTTCCACTCGTGGTATTCCTGGCGCCGCTTCTCGGCGGCCTTCTCCTCCGGGCCCGGCGTCCACGGGTCTGTTCTCCGGCTTGCGTGAGGGAGTACTCTTGCCCTTGTTGTTGCCCTTGCCGTAGGGGCCGACTGCTGCCGTTGGCGGGGCTGCCAGGTCCGTGCCCGGTTGTGAAATGCTGGCCTCCGTGGTCAGCGTCCCCGTGGAGCCGATCGGCATCTCGTCCGCAGTGAAGAGGCGGTCCGGATTGCGTGGAGGAGTCACTGCGTCCTTCTTCTGCTCGACCGGGGGACCGTGCGTCGGATAGCCTCCCAGCGCTGGTGACCTCGTCGGCTGCGGCGCCCCCGCGTTGGCTGCCGCCTGCTGGTGCAGCATCGCCTGGGAGGCCATCGCCGCCGGCGCACTCGTCCCGTCGAGAGGTGCTGTCCCAATGTAGGCCCACGCTGTTGGAGCCACTCCTGGCGGCGCCCCCGCTGCGAGAAGTGGTGGGCTCTGAGGCTGTGGCTCGGTCATCTGCTGGCCCAGTGACGAAGGATGCCCCGACGGCGCTGGCCGTTGTGGAACCTCTCGAGCCTGCGGTGCCCTGGCCTCCGCCTTGGGGGGAGAGTCAATTGCAGCGGCTGTGACCTTGACCTGGCCCGCCTTGCTGCTCGAGCTGCCCTGCGCTATGGCCCTGATCATTCGGCTGGCCTCCTGCGCCTGTCCCTGGGCTGTCGCGATCGCCGTCATCTGCTCTTTAACGGTGGTCGTGACCCGCTCGAGCGCCTCCTGCTGCGACGCCTGCGAGGCCATCACCCCCTGGATCATGGCCTTCATCTCCTGAAATTGACTCTCGACCATACCCTTCATGTCCCTCTCGGTCTTGGCCTGGTACTCGCGCATCTCCTCGAGTGGGTCGGAGGCGGTGTCCATGGCCTCCGTGTCGCTCTCTGGCTTGCGCTTCGCTGAGGACGCCCGGCGAGCTGCTGCTGCTGCGGACCTCTGTTCCGCCTGATCCTTCTGCAGCGCCTCGGTGACCTTCGCCGCGTCCTCCGCCACTCGCTGATACGCCGGCTGCCGAGCCGTCATGAATGAGCCGCCCGCCAGACCTCCGGCCATCATGCCCGGGTGAAGAGGTAACGGAGCCCTCTCGGCTCCAGGAGGTGGCTTGGGCACGCATATCAAGGCCTGCCACTGTGGCTCGGCGGTCGCGCCCTGAGCCCAACCTTGTCCACGCAGCGTGCACGCGGCGTCCTTCTTCTTGCACAGGCACATCTCCTCCTCTTTCACAGTCCCTTTTGTCGGCCTCAGCTCCCAGTATCCGACCCTCATCGTGCACCCGCTGCATACGAACCACTTCCCCCACGAGTTGGCTCCGTAGCTCACGAGCGTCGGTGGGTGCCAACACGTCTCGTACGCCTCCAAGAGGCGACGAAGAGACTTGGGCAGGTTGGTCGGCCAGAAGCGCTTGGCGCGGCACATACTCCCGAACTCTTCGGCCAGACGCGCCGACCAATATAGCGCCCACCCGGCCAAGCAGGCCCATCCCTTCTCGCCCTTGTTGAGGTTCTCCGGGACGTAGGTCCCGGTGGCCCCGTAGACCCATGCTGAGTCCGTCTGGCTCTGCATGCGATCCGTCATCGTATGTGGCCGCTCCTGAGCTCCACGGCGCCCCCTCTGGCCTGCCACGCGGGTCGTCGAAGCAGCTGGCGGCGTCGCGATCTGCTCTCCAATCGGCCTCTGAGTTGTCGAGGCTATTGTCGAATTGCTGTGAGCTGAACGATTCGGACCCAAGTGCTGCGAGGAAGGCGGACGAAGTCGAGGCTGGCCTCGTGGCCCACGTCGGCCACCTCCAACCCCGCGCTGTCGACCCTCCCCTGGCTCTGAAACGTCTCGACCTGGAACTCAAAGCCCTGGCGAGTCCCGAAGTACACGTACTGCTCAGCGCGGAGTCGGAGGTGCCGCCCGAGTCCAGACCCCTTAGTGGACCTGTTCTGGAACCTAAGTTGTCCGGCCCAACTAAGGCCCCGGCGTGCGTTCCGACCGCATCTGACCGAAGATTCTCACAGAAAAAAATCCCGGACCCCCTCGGACGCTCTTCCGTCCCCCTCAGACTCCCCCACCAGCTTCCGTGGTACAGCCCCCCCAGGCCAGTGCTGACAGAAAACGCGATGATGTACTTCCCCTTGGCTTGAAACGCATCCTTCGGCAGCTGAGGGTGCGACCTAAACACGGAGGCTGGAGCTTTAAAATCTTTGGCGGGAACCGAAAACTTGTCCACCTGTATGGTGCGGTGGGCCGACGGGGGCCTAGTCAGAGGCGTCGTGGCCCCCAACTTCGTAAAAGTCATAGCTTTGTTCGGAAGATCTACAATCCCACCTAGCATTTCTTGAAATCCTATCGGCAAAAGGGGTGGAACGTCCTGGTCCAGGACATCCAGCTCCAGCACCCCCATGCTACCCTCAATGCCTACAGGGATCAGAGCGGTGTGGGTGACCTTTACCCCCCCGCCTACTCCGCGCGCGCTTGGGTTCCTAAGTGGGGCCCTTGGGACGGCGAGCCCCTTTGAGGCCCAGTGCCCCTCGATCTTCTGCAAAGCTTGCTCTCCTACGAGGCCCTGACCGGCCGCGGTGTCGACCACCATGGCCCCAGGACCTACGGCGAGCAGGACAACTGCGTAGGTTGGAGGAGGAGGCTCGTCAAAGCACTGGGACGTGGAGTGATCTAAAGCATTCACATACAGGAAAGTCATACCCGTGGCAAGGGACCCCTTTTCGTCCTTGGCTCCTGCGCCCTGCTTCCGTGGGCACTCTCGAGACCAGTGTCCCTTCTGATGACAGACACGGCATCTCGTGCGCTTAATTAACTCAGCAAGCGGAAGGCGGCTCTTCCGCGCTCTGAACGTGCCGTCTGCTGCCCTGTGGCCGGGCCTGCGAGCCTTCTCGCGCCCATCGCTGCCACGGCCCTGGCCAGACCTATCGTAGAACTTCCGGTCGGTCTTCAGCTGTCTCTTCAAGTCGCGGTTCTGCTTCCATGTCTTGCGACGCTCCTGGTTGATGGCGGCCAGCGCTGCAGGCGCGTCGTCCTCCCCGACGTCGGCCGACTCCAGGATCGCCCAGACCTCTGCTTCCCCGTCTGAGTCCATGGGGGAGACATCCGAATAGTCGAGCAAGGACTCGTCGTCGCGCTCGACCTGATAGGTAGGCACCTGAGGTAGAGGTGCTTCCGAGCCCATAGTGGCGTAGGTCCTGCGTGCTTTGAAATGCTCTCGATGGGAGATGTCCATCTCCCGAGTAGCCGAAAGAGCCGACTTGTAGTCCTTCTGGTCCCTCATGAGCACCTTGACCATCTGCGCCGAGCGCTCGTCGAGAGAAACTCCTTCCTCCAGGAACATCAGTTTCCACTCGTCTGGAAGCGGCAGCCCCTGAGTAGCTACCCTGTCGAAGGCCGTGTCCACGCGTGCACAATATTCGGTGAGATTCTCTCCCTGCTTGCGTGAATAATCCAGTAAGCACTCTCGAGCGACCTTCCGTCGCTCGTCGCCGTGTCTTTCACCAGACATCAAGTCAAGGCGTTTGATAATGGCGTCGAAATCCCATGAGCTGCATAGCGTGTCGTCATCGAGGTCCTCGAGCTTCCGTTGAAGGTCTTGATCAAGAGAGCGGAAGAGGCGATCAGCCTGCTTGTGGGAGGGAACGTCCGTCAGTGTTCTCCAGCGCAGCACCGTGCGGCGCCGCGTGCGGTAGTCTCCCCAGCCTCTCCACTTCTCGGGGTCGGCGAAGTCCTTGCCGGTGTTCGTGCTGGGGCGGTCGTCATCATGTCCGGAGTGGCGCTTATTGGGCTCCCACTTGCTGTCCTTGTAGCTGTCGTTCCATCTCCATCCGGATGACCAGTCGCCCCAATGCTCGTCTTTCCAATGCCTGTCCCCGTAGCTCTCCCAGGCCGAAGCCGGAGTCCAGGTGGATCGCGAAGAAGCCCACTGCTGCTCGCCAGGCTTGTAGTCCGGCTCCTGCCATGTGCTTCTCGTCGCGTCCCAGCCACCCGAATGCCACTGCTCCGACCTGCCCTGGGACGTCTCGGTGGCGGACGCGGCCGCGCCACCACCTGACCATGTCCCGGCACTCGTCGACTCGTGTTCTGGCGGGTGCATGCCAGCCTGACCACGAGCGATCCTCGGAGCTTGACCACGGAGCACTTGAGCTCTGCCCGTGACCGCGCCGACGTCCACTGTCGTCGTCGTCCCCATGTGAGTCGCGCTGGTGACTCTGGGAACTGGCCGGCACCACGTCCAGTAGTAAAAGACGTGCCAACTTCTCTGCCTCATCTTGGTCGAGGTGGAGACCGTCGTGCCTCATCAGTGTGTCAGTCACTGCCCGTACTGCAGAATGCTCCCCTCGTTCTTCTCGCTGTGTCTCTCGATTAGCACCTTGCTCCGCTGCTGCCGTCATTGGTCCGCGGACTCAGAGCTGCTCACAGCTCCGCTACCACTGTCGCCCGGCGGACGACAGCAGTGAAGCCAAAGTGTCGGATCTTTTCTCCAGCAAGAGAACCCTCGCACTCTCTTCTCAGTACGCAGCTCCCAACGCTGTACAAACAAGGCGCGGAACGGTATGGGAAAGGAAGAGGGGTAGAGTGGATATGGTATGAGTGATGAGGAATGAGTGGAAGTTGGGTCTTGAGCCAAAATGGTTACGACCCATGCTCGTGACCTTCAAGCTCAGGGAGTCTAGCAGGGGCATCGGCCTTGAAAACCACCTGCCTCTAGACTCAAATCACACAGAGGGCCCAAAGATGCCTCTTCCACCTCATCTTCCTCATGCTTCATTTGTTGTTTTGGTTTGTTTCTTGGTACTATCTCTCACACCCCCTTTTGCATTTATTTGTCGCGCTCTCTCTCTCTCTCTTTTCCCCCCTCTCTCTATATGTATGTATGTATGTATGTATGTATGTATGTATGTATGTATGTATGTATGTATGTATGTATGTATGTATGTATGTATATATGCACGTATGTATGTATGTATGTATGCATGCATGCATGTATGTATGTATGCATGTGTGTATGTATGTATGTATGTACGTATGTATGTATGTATGTATGTTTGTATGCATGTATGTATGTATGTCTGCCTGCCTGTCTGTCTGTATGTATATATATACACATGTCTTCTATCCCTCTCACTCTCTATCTCTCTCACTCTCTCCTGTAATTCTCTCTCTCTCTCTTTCTTCTCTCTCTCTTTCCGTCTCTCTCTACCTTTCTCTCTCCCTCTCTCTCTCTCTCCTCTTTTTGTTATCCATCTTTCCTTCTCTCTCTCTCTCGGCGCTGGGTGCGAGCGAACACGACGGGTGAGAGCCACGGAGTGAGGGCCAGGTGCACTGGGTGCGAGCGGGTACGCATGGTGTGTAACGCTGAAGGATCGGACGCAAGATGCGAGCAGGCACGTACGGAGATAGTCAGGTGCGGTGTGCCAAGGGAGAGGAGAAAGAGAGAGAGAGAGAGAGAGAGAGAGAAAAAGAGAGAAAGAGAGAGAGAGAGAGACGCGCGCGGAGTGGGGGCGTAAAACGCCCGACCAACCTTCCCATGATTCTATCCGCCACTGTGTCCTCTGGCGCGTTCAGGCGTGGTAGAATACTAAATATCGTCTGGTAACATCTCTGTGTAAGAAGGGGCGCCCCCTCTTACTCGCAGACTCCCGCGTGCACCGCCCCCGAGCTTGGCATGCGAACTTCGGGATGGGTGTAGGAGTTTCTTCGCCACGGACGAAGCCTGCCAACGATAGGACCCTGCGAACTTCGCCAGCGATGGAACCGGTCAACAGCAAGGAACACGGACGGTTCTGTAATTTAGCGTATAGGAGCATGCCTTGAGCTCATACTGCCCTGCAGCACTTTTCCTTCTTCTTCTTCTTCTCCTCCTCCTCCTCCTTCAATATCCCTCCCTCTTCCCCTTCGCACCCAGAGTCTCGAATGAGACACTTTCTTGGCGTCGCGGCCACGCGCGCAGCAAAGCGGCGGAGTCAAGCTAGTGGGAGCGCCAAGAGAGTGGTGCGGCGGCCGCGGCTGGGCAATTAGGAGGCCCAGAGCCCTCGAATGACACGCACACGCACGCACAAACAATCCCACCTGCCCTCTGGGCGTAGGCGATCTAACGATGTTGTTCTTTCCTCTTCCAAAACTCCTCTTCCCTTCGGGGAGGAGTGCTCTCCCCCCTTTTTTTGTTAATATTTTTTTGGAGGGGGCCCGAGGGGTTAGAGCATCCAAGATGGCTCAAGATGACCTCAAGAGGGCCTCCGATGCTCCAAGGTAGCCTCCCAAATGGCCCAAGACAGCCGAAGATGTCTCAAGATGGCTTCCAGCATGCTTCAAGAGGCTCCACAGACCGCTCCAAGACGGCCCCAAGTGCTCTCGGAGCCCCCCCCCAGAGGCCCAAATCAGCCAAACACCTGAGAAACATCAGCTATTGTTGCCTTCTCGCCGTTTCGCTTCTGATGCGCTTCTGAGGCCTCCAGATGACCCAACGATGGCCTACGAGAGCCGCAATGGGGGGCCCAAGGTTCTCCAGGCGGCCCCGAAAACGCCCGTGATCGCCCCGAGAGGTCACCCAAAGGCGAATTTCAGGGCACCGGAGGGGGGAGGCAAATTGGGGATCCCCCTTCTTTGACCGACAGCCTCCAAGATGGCCTCAAGAGGCCCTCGAGGGCTTCCGACTTGTAACCAACAGGGACCCAGAAATGCTCCAAAAAGGCCCCAAGACGGCCCCAAGAAGGCCCAAGAGCGCCCCAAGAGCGTCCCATGAGGGCCCCAAGAGGCGGTTTGCCTCCTCCTCCTCCTCCTCCTCCTCGACGCATCCAGAGGCAATCAGGTTCAATCCAGACCACCTTTTCCGCGGGGGGCGTTGCCTCCACCTAAGGAGACCAGGACCCCCCAGCCGTGAGGTAGGTGCAGTCGACGGCACTACCCTCAGAGCACGACGGGCTTACCGTGGCCGACGTGCACCGCAACGTCCAGAGGCCCCCGGCGCCGCCGAAACGGCTCCGCGGTCTGGCCCAGCGCCGCCCCTGGCCGCGGCCTCGGCGCCCCGCCGAACGTACCAGAGCATCACCCGCAGATGCTCCTCGTCCAGCTCGCGAGGGCGCCCCGCGTAGCGCCAGCCTCGGCGACCAGGAGGTCTGTGCGGCGCTGGCGCGGCGAGGACGCCGCCGCGGGCGCTGACCCCGCAGGGCGCTCGGACCCCCCCCTTGCCGCCGAGCGGTGCTCCAGGCGACTCACGAGTAGGGGGCGCCTCGGCGGCGGCCGCCGCAAGCGAAGCGGCGGACGCGGCGGCCGAGGGCGCTGGGCGGACCAGGTGGTCTGCCCAGCCGTCGTCCTCGAGGCCGCTGTCGCCGACGCCGCCGACAGCAGCAGCAGCCGCCGCCGTAGTGTCCTCGGCGGCGGAAGGGGACCATGGCCACATCCTGCTCTCCGCGGGCTCGGCGACGCCGAACGCGGCGACGGCGCCGCCGCCGTTGCCGCTGGCCATCAGGCGGGGCGCCCGTCGCAGGAGCGGCAGGCGGCGCAGCAGGGTCACCTGCACCACCGACTCCTCCACCACCAGCGGCAGCGCCACGGGCGGTGCGAAGCTCGGCGTCGAGCATCGCCGCCGCGGCGCGCACGATGCACTCGGCAGTGCGCAGTAGCCGAGCGGCTGCCGCGCCCCGCGCCAGGCCAGCAACGCCGTGCACCGCCAGCGCAGCCCCGCGGGCTGCGGCCAGCGCCGCACGGCGGTCTGTCGCCGCCGCCATCGGAGGCCCGCGGCGGGCCAAGCGGCCCTGCGGCGGCGGGCTCGACGCGGGCCCGGCTCCTCCTCCTCCTCCTCCTCCTCCTCCTCCTCCTCCTCCTCCTCCCCCTCGTCCCCCGGCCCCCCTGCGGGCCCCAGGGATGCCCGAACAGGCCATTCAAGGCCACCCCCTTGCTCCCAGAGTTCCTTCTGTTCATCGTGGTTGCCGGCTTTGTTTCACTGTGTGTGTCTCTTCGTCCCTTTTCCCGTCAGCTCCCGTGGGCGGGCTTTCCGAACGGGCGCTTTTCTTTCGTCCGAACGCTGTGTGCCACGGCGCCAGCGCTCCATCCCTGATGAGATAGGGTCCTGGCGCATTGGAAACGTGCGCCCGTCCGTCGTCTGAACGGGCTGGTGGGGGTATCTTTGATCGGGACCGAAGCGAGACAGGTCGGGCGGCGTAAAGGAACGAAGCGCAGATGCATCGGCCTAAACTAGCGCACGTGAGGAGGAAAGCGAACAGAGGAAGAGGACGAACGCGGAAGAGGAAAAACCAAGCGGGAGGGCAAACAGGAGGTGAGCCTCGGTGCCGCCCAAAAGACGGCGCGCACCTGGAAGAGCTTCCGGGCGAACTGCAGCACCAGGATGGTGTAATTCGAGGGCAGCTCCGCGACCACGTAGAAGACTTCCAGCGAGACGAGCAGCGATTCCACGACGAGCCGTCGGACCGCGGAACGTAAGACAACGAGGTCACCACTGCGAGGGATATCCCCAGCATGCAAGCGCTCAACAAACCAAATCCGAAACGCCAGGCACCGAGAAAGTGCCATGGGTGCCACCAGGCGGGGACCGGCGCCCGCGCCGCCACGGTAACGAGTAGGTGCGGGGGACAGGCAAACAGGGGACTGGAAGGGGAAGTGCCGACAGGGCGGGTGCGAGCGGCACGCGCCGCCCAGGTGGCAGGAGGGCACAGCTGAAGACTGTACTGGATGAGCAACGCGGTGGGGGAGGACCAGGTGTCCGTCGACCCAATGCGGGGAGGGGAGGCAGGCGGCAGGCGGGACGCGATGTGCGGACCGCCAGGACGTCCAGGGAGAGACCCCCCACGGAGGGCGATGCCTGCAGACCAGCGCCCTGGGCCGAGGGGGCTGGTGGGGATACTTTTTGTCGGGACCGCAGGCGAGCACGCCAACGGCGAGTAGGGTCGGCTGGTGGGGATACTTGTTAGGTTCGCGGCTCCAAGGCGACGGACAGGGAGCGGGCACAACGTCTGGGGCGCGGTACGATGTAAATTGGCCGCAGTGGCGTATGCACATGCCAGGGACAAAATGCCCCTCATTAAGACGCAGGACGGCGTCGGCAGGTGACCGGCCCAGACATCCCGGCAGGTGGGGAAGCAAAGGCGCGGCGACCGGCAGCGGAACGGGGGGGAGAAGTCGCACTTGCGGCGCCAAACTCCAGCCGAACCACATACGGAAGCGAGGCCAAAATGGGCGGCGGGGCACTGTAGGGCCGCATGCGCGGATCCGAATGGCCAATGACCAAGCGAACTCCACGTGCGAGTACCCAGTGACAGGCCTAGACCTCGGAAAAATGGCTGGTGGGGATACGCGAAGCGTGAATAATTTCGACACGAGCGACACGATATGTGCAAGATGCACCGAACGAGACCAGCCGAAGGCACCGAAACGAGCCAGTCATAATCCCACACACAAGTGCGCCCCGTGCCGATGGTTTCGCATCACTGGGAAGGGTGTGAGGGAGGGACGGGTCAGAGAGAATCTTACCCACTCGAAATCCGTAAGATGAAGACGATAGAGGGTCTCTCGTCTGATGCGAAGGGAATCTCAGTGTCAACACCTTGAGTCGATTGAGCAGCGGATGAGGAGGGGAAGGAGGTGAGAGAAGGTACGCGCACACAGCAGACATCGGAGGTGAACCCCTTCAGCGAAACGCCCTTTAGTGAAAGCTGCCAAGGACACTCCATGTGCGCACGGCACCAGATTCCGAGTGTGTCCCAGAGGGGTAGCTCACCGACATCCCGAAACAGCCGAATGGATCTGGCGAGAGGCACGCCGATCAGCGAAACAGCTTGGCACACTCGAGTGCCAATGTCGAATGAACCCGTGCAGATCTCCTCGGTCGACCTGTCTGGGCGACCGTTCTCTCAATGCCCGGGGGCAGGAAGGGCGGACCGTCTGCGCGGCCTCCGGCTCGTCCTCAACCGCCCATTCGGGCGCCGCCTGCGCGCGCCAGCCGCCGTACGCCTCGAGGACCTGTGTTTGTGGGGGGATCAAAAAGCCTGCGGTCAGGAACTTTTGCTTCGGGTGCTGTCCTGGTTGCCCCGGCGACAAGGTATGCCCTGCGAGTGTATACCGTGTCGCTCCGCTCCGCGGGGCGTAGGGCTCGGAAACGCTCGGCACGTTGATGCTGGGCGGCCAGGAAGTGGATATCGTGTCGGACCCAAGCGTGGTGGACCAGAACCGGCGGAACGACACGCTAGGCCAAAATTCCTGACCGTAGCCCAGCCGAGATCCGTAGGAAGGGCAACGTTTGTGGGGGAGTGGCTCAGTGGGGGGGGGGCATCGAGCTGGAATCGGCGATACGTCTCCGATAGCTTGGCGATAAGCCACGGATAGCAAATCAGCACCGTCCTCGGCGGGGTGGACTATCGGGCACCCATCGGCGATGAATGAGCGACTGGGGAATCGACGCGTTTGCCCTTGAGCCTATCCCCCCTTAGTAGTGTTGCCCCTGACGGTAGGATGAGGACGATCGAGGATTTCTCCTTTGAGGCATATGGAATCTCAGTGCCAATGCCTGAGCCGTCTGGGCAGCAAATGAGGAGAGGAAGGAGGTGATAACCCATAAATAATTTATTATCATGCTTATGGTTATTCGTATAATTATCCTTATAACGGTGATGCTGCTGATGATGATGGTGCTGATGGGGGTGATGATTATTATTTTTAACTATCATCATTCTACTTGTTATACTTATTATACGTATTATTATTGTAATTAAATTATTTATGTGTATATATACATCGGCGCTCCGAACGTTTATTCCGATTTGAAAGGCACGGCGCCGCGCGAATGCAGCGCAAGCGCTATGCTGGAAGGGCGCGACAATGCGTGCCCCCTGGACAAGCGAAAGCAGCCGCGCCCCCGCGCGAACCCGGATCTCGCGCGGGGCGCGTTCCCGTTGACAATGGTTCACCCGGGAAACCGTTTCTTGTGCGGGAAGTCCTGGGCGGTCTGCCCATCGACGGCTCATTCGGATGAGGCCCGGAACCACCGAGAAACCGCTTTTGAGAGGAAATTCTGAGCGGTTTGCCCATGCTCGGTTTCTTCGGAGTGGGCCCGAAGACCTCGAGAACGATGTTTTTGCAAAGACTCCTAGGCGGTTTGCACATGTTCAGTTCGTTCGATGGGATTTGGGCACTTCCAGGTCGGCCGATAAACTTTTCGGGTCGGCGTATGACCGAACCCGAAAGCTTCTTTCGAGGAGGTCCTATGCCGATTGCTCATTTTCGGGCCAGTACACCGTTCGGGATTTAAAATTCTAAATCGGGAAGGGGAACCCGATCCAGCGACCCCGGGCGGGGGTGAGGCTCTGCCCTTGCATTGTACTGGGCCCCTCCGGGCAAACGGGGTGATGGGCTGCCCATCGGCGCGCCGACTCTGCCCTCGCGACATCGTCCCCGTCCGCTCTCGGGCCCCGCGAGTCTTGTCCTGCGCGCGCCACCCCAGATGGCCGCGGCTGGCACGGTGGCGAAATTGAAAAGCTGTAGGATCGGCGCATTTTTTTTTTTTTTTTTTTTTTTTGTGTTGTTGTTTTTTTTGTTTATTGTTTTGTTTTTCTCTCCTTTTCTTTATCATATATGCTGTCCAAAAATTCAAGCACATAGAAAATACAATTCGCGCCCCCATATGTCCCGACTCTTATCCCAGGGACGGTTTTCCCTCGCGAGTCGATTCTTAACGAAGGCCCCTGGAGGCCGACAATTGCCAAAAACTCCACATCGTGTTTCTTTCGCGGCGCTGGCATGTCTGGGAGGGGGATCTACAAGGACACCAGACGATACCGACACAGCTATACTCCCCAGACCTCTCCCAAGATGCGTTCTGACCCAAGTTTCGCAGCGAATCCAGCCGTGGCATCGAGGACCTCCCAGGAGGCCAAACAAGCAAAAACGAGGCAAAAGTAATGGTATCGGAACTTCTTCCTTCTCTGAGATTATAGCGATCCTCTTGGTTCTCGGCTCATGACTCGGCGCTCCAGCGGCCAGTCGGGACGATCTGGGCACTTCCGGAACCCGCTCGACGCGGCGCAATCGCTGGAAGGCGTCCTGAGGCCAGGAAACTGCAACGAACCGACGAACAATACGCGAAAACCTCGACTCTCGGACGCGAAACCTGGGAGGGTATAGCGGTATGGGTACCTCTTCCTCCTCTGTAGGGCCTGCCGTAGCTGCTCCAGTGCGTCTGCCGCCGCCAGCACGAGCTCGACGCTGCCGCCTCGGTCGGCGGCCACCGCGGCCAGCACCTGGAGAGCATCCTGTTTTTTCGCGGCGATAACGGGCGGTCTTGGGGGGAGGAGGGGGGGGGGGGAGGGGGGAGGGGGGGGTATAACCTAACGCCCCCCGCCCGCCAACGCCGTGTGGGTCCGGCACCAGACTGGGGTGCCGGACGCACTGCGCGGAAGGCGCACTGGAGGGGGGGGGGGAGGGAGCGTCACGTTGTGGAGGGGGGACGGGGGGGCACAACGCGCATCTTAGCCCAGAGGGGGGGAAAAACAAAAACACTCTCCTGCAGCTCCGCGCCCTCGGCCTCGCAGTCTCGCGCCTCGGCGGCGGCGCTCTGCACGTGCTCGCGGCCGCTCGGCGGGCTCGCCAGCGCCTCCGAGAGGAGGGACAGTCGCTCCTGCGCGGCGGGCGGGGGCCGCCAGGAGACTGCGGACCCAGACCTCTGACGATATGTTTTGTTCCATCCTGGCCTTGGCTGCCCCGATACGCAGCACGCAACAAGCAGCGTGTTGACACGGAGCTCGACACGTGGACAGGACACGCAATTCTGTCGCGGTACGTTCGCCAAGCACGTGGGCCAACACGTGCCGAGCCAACACGCAACGTGTTGACACGGACGTTTTGCATACGGTACGTGCTGCGTTTTGAAACGAGCGGATCAGGGTACGCAACGTGCTGTACGCAACGTGCTGTACGCAACGTGCTGTACGCAACGTGTTTAAAAACACGTGCCGAGCCAATACGCGACGTGCTGTATGTTTGTGCTCCATTCGCTCGACAAAATACTTTTGGTCAGCGGCGAGGGCGCGAGCCCATCGCACTTCAGCAGCCAGCGTGCCGCGCCGTGCAGGGGCACACTAGACAAATGGAAAAGAAGACCGCACTGCATCGCAAACACTCTAGGGACGGAAAACTGACCCCGGGGAATGTGTGGGAAGCTCTGGGACCGCGGGCTGACAACAATCACATCGTCGGATGTCTGGGGAGGGGCATGAGCGGGGACGATGAAACATCGAGCTTGCATCGGCCATGCATCGCGCCCCCCGATTGCGAAACCCCACATTCCTGGGCGGGGTGAGCGTATCAGGCCCCTACCGGCGATGAGTGGGCGATTTGGGATCGATGCGATCCCCCCTGTGCCTCTGGGCCGCGGGCGAAGACGACCTGTCCTTCCCAGGGGTCCAGGCGCCCAGGGAAGATAATGGTACGGAAGACTTGAAGGAACCGACATCCTGATGACGCATGTGTCATATCGTTCGTTCTTCGGATGGTCTATGGCACTTTTTTCGAGCTCTTGCGAGCTTCTGGCCCGACTCAAGCTCTATACGAAATTCCTGGCGGTGACCAGGTTGGTCGTTTACCAGTTAAAGTGGAGATTGGAGGGGAGCCAGGGCAGGGGCAGAGGAGATAGAGAGAGAGAGAGAGAGACTGCACCACCACCTCCCATGCCCCCGCACACCCCTGCTAGGGCAGTCCTGGAATCGCAGCAGAAGTCCCTCGTCGAGCGTAGCGTCTGCGCCGTTGCCGACGGCCCGCGCCGCCCCCTCGCAAGCTGCCAGGGGGCATCCCCTTCCCGTTCATTTCCTGCTCTTTCGCTGCCCACTACTCTCCCCCCACCGCCACAGAGGCAAGCGGCCCCTCATTCTGGAACGTGGCCGTATCGGCCGCCCACCTCGGAAGTTCTCCTGGCGCCGCCGGCCATCCAAAAACAGCCGTTTTTTGTGAGCGCTCGTGGGCCCACAGCATGCAGCCCGTTTCTCTGGTGCGTCATGGACTGCGGCTGGCAAATCAATCACCGGCGCCTGGGCTGGGCACCAGACTCAAAACTTCCCCCCTGCTCCAAAACATCCACGGCTGGCCGTCATGGGCAGCCCCGCTTGGCGGGTGACCCCACTCCGTCCACCATCCAGGCACAGCTGCCTCTGGTGGCGCCCTGCGGTTCGCGGCATGTCGCGCCGCGCGCTCCTGTGACTAAAAAAACTCACCCAGCGACAACGCCGCCGTTCATACATCAGCTCGGCTGAGAACCAACGTTTTCGTATTTCTGCAGGGGCCGGGATATCAGGAAGATGGAAGCACACATGGCTGGAATCCAACCAGCCCTTTAGGGCGTGAGTGGTTTAACGGATTTTGCATTATCTCTCTGCCCAAACCCCTGCTTCCCCTGTTCGGGGGAGGGGTTTACCACTGTTCCCTACTAATATACCCCCCATCCCCCATCCGGCCGGCGGCCAACCCGGAACCATGCCAACCCCATGAGGGTCACCCCACCCAACATCCCTGTTAAAAACTATACAGAACGCACTCTGCCCCCATATTTGGAGCATGCGCGGCCGCCCCGCGACCATGTTGTATGGGTATTTTACAGGGGCGGTTGGGGTGCTTGCAGATCCCACCTGCTTTCTGGGCGCAGGTGGTCGACCGACCGGTTTGACACATCAGTGGCTGCTGCCTTTTCGCCTTACCTTTTTCCGATGGGATTTCGAAACCTCCACATGGCTCCAAAAGTGGCCAAGAAAGCTCGAAGCCGGGCCCAAGAGCCCCTAGTGATTCCCAGTGGCTGGCGCACCTGGCGCGGCTGGAGCACGTGGAACGCTGGGCGCACGTGGAGCACGTGCCGCACCTGGCGCGCCTGGCACGCTTGGGCCTCCAGGGACTGGTGCATGTGGAGCCCGTGGCGTCTGCAACGTTCTTACGCGATATGCTGACTCCCGGGTGTATGCGTTGGGAGGGAGGGCGGGTGGGAGTGAGCAAGACGGCTTGCGGTCGGGTGGAAGCTTGACCCCTCCCACTGCCCCCTCTCCTGGGCCTGGGAAAAGGGGCGGGGGGGAAGAGGGTTTAGAGCGTCCAAGATGGCCCAAGATGGCCCCAAGAGGGCCTCAGAGAGCCCACGATGGCCTCCAAGTTGGCTCAACTCAAGATGGCTCAAGATAGCCTCCAACACACATCCCAGAGGCCTCAAGACGGACCCAAGACGGTTTCAAGTGCTCTCCGAACCATCCAAAGATCCCCCAGGGGGCCAACATCCTTCAACAACCTGGAACAAACGCTGTTTTTTTGCCTTCTCGCTTTTTCGCTTCCGATGGGCTCTAGAGGCCTCCAAATGGCCCCAAGACCGCCCAAGAGCGCCCCTTAGGGCCCCCCAGCGGCCCCAAGAGGGCCCCAAGAACCTCCAAGAACGCTCCAAAACCGCCCTAAAAGGGTCCCAAAACGCTCTTTTTGAGCTTCCGAAGTGGGGCTGAAACTCCCCCCCTCCCCATTTTGGAGCCATGGGGCCCAAGAGGCCTCCCAGACCCCTCCCCCCCCCCCCTAAAAAAAAACGCCACGATTCCCAACCTGAGCCCCAAGAAGATACCAAGAATGGCCCAAGAGGCCCCACTGGGGGCCGTCAGAGAGCCCCTAAACTCCCGACAGCCTCTAGCCGAACATGGCTCAAGATAGCCTTCAAGAGTCCTCAGGAAAGCCTCTGATCGAGTCTGGATGGGCTGGTTGGGGATCCTTTTTGGTCCGCGGGCACGCGAATACGAGTCGAACGCCGAGCGTGCTAGGGCGGGCCGCGCTCCTGGCGAGGAGAAACAATGTATGGAATGGCAAACAGCGGGTGGGAGGGGGCCGCAATACTGCCCGCCCAACATTGCCGCCAAAGACCATATGCCGTACGAGTCGAACAGCACAAAATGGAGGCCGCAACCAAAATGGCGCGGGAGAAGCAGCGGCCGGGGTGTGCGGGTGGCAGGCCACTCAACCATGGGCACCGGCTGTCGGGGATACTTTTCTGATCGCGACCGCGCCGAAAGCAGTCGGGCGGCGTCCAAGGGCGCAACTGACTAAGCGGCGGCCTAAATTACGCGCGACAGAAGAAGGAGGAAAGACAGCGAGAGAGGAAGCGGAAGGAAGAACGAACAGGAGGCGGGCCTCGCTGCCGCTCAGGAGAGGGCGTCGTCGACCGGGAAGAACTTCCAGGCGGGGTGCATCGCCCAAATGGCGGGAATTCAAGTTGGACGTCACCTCGAGCGTGCAGAGGATGGGGACCACCGGCAGAGCTCACCATGAAGTCCAGCGTCAGGGCCAACGGTCCTGCCGACGCAAGTGGCGGTCGAGTCGCACGCCGCGGCAGGCATCGACCAACTCCATGCAGGCGCCCAACGGACCAGAGCCTGGATCGCCAGACACCGTCAGGGACTGGTGTCGAGACCGCGTGCCGGGCGGGTGGGTGCGGGCGGGCGCACGCGCACCGTGGTAGGCATGAGGACCCCGCTAAGGGACCGTCGGGGAGGAACCCACACGGTGGAAGGTGACAGCTGGTGGGGGTACTTTTTTTAGTCAGCGGCCGCGGGCGAGCGCGCCAGCGGCGAGTCAGGTCAAAGCGGGCTACGCAGAGACTAACTAGGCAGAGGCGGCGCAAAAAGGCTACAACTAACGCGGCAAGCCGAGGCCTCACGCGGCGGCCCAGCGGCGGGCGGGTGGCAGGAGGAACTGAAACTGAGTCGAACTGCCAGCGTGCAAATATGCAGGGCGTCGAAGGCACCAGGAAGTCGGGATACAAACGACGACCAGGGACAACTCCGAGAATTAAGGCATGAGACCGAACCTCGAGCAACTGCGTGGGCACCAGGGTGGCCGCGGCAGCTGGTGGGGGCACGCGAAGCGTCAAGAAATACATGTGAAACATTTGGAGGCCACGCGCTGGATACACCTGCGGAGGGCCAGCGTGCCTGGCCACACAAGGGCCGGGCGCAGGGAGGACACGTGGCTGCAGGAGTATCCAGTCCTCGCCCAGGCTGGCCGCGTCATTAGACGCCTCCCAGATGGGGTCAGAGCAGATGGGGTCGGAGTATCGCGCCGCATCGTCGGAGGATCAGGCCGCATCGTCGATGCATCGCCAATGCATCGGCGATACCTCGGCGACGTCGGCGATTAATCGGCGACGTCGGCGTGGAGAAAATCAGGCTCCACATTGAAACGCATCGCCGATGCATCGGCGATGCGTCGCGATCCTCGGGCCCCATCTACTCCGACCCCATCTGGGAGGCTTGGGGCCTCATTGTGCACCCACCCTCCCGTGGCAGTTTTTTCCAGATCGCCGCCTCGAGTGGCCGCTCCGAAGCGCCGAAGTCCAGGTGGCCCTGCGCCCTGCTGTGGGCGGAGCCGTGGGCGTGCTCGGCGATCGAGGCCCCGCCGCGCTCGTCGGCAGGCCCTCCGCAGACCGGGCACCGCAGGCCCCCCGCGGCGGTGCTCTGCATGCAGCCCGCGTGGCAGTAATGGACACGGCCCGCGCACCGGCTCGCCGGAGCGCCCTCCGACAGCTCCTTCGAGGGGCAACGTCAGGAGGAAAGTGTTGGGTTCGAGGTTCGTGGTTCGAGGATTTCTGGGCGCTTTCGTCGGTTCTCGGCGGCTTCCATGCCTCGGGGTGCTCTCCAGCAGCTGCGCCTCGCTGTCGCCTCGCCGAGAGCGTTCTGGGGGTGCCCGGATCGTCGAACGGCCGCCAGAGAGCCGAGCTCTGACCCGAAAACCAAGGGTTCGGCTCAGCGGCGATACATCGCCGACGGGCCCCTGATAGCAAATCCGCAAGTGCCTGGGCGGGGTGGGCTATCGGGCCCCTAGCGGTGATGAGTGGGTGATCGGGGTCGATGCATCCGCTCCTGATACCATCCCCCCCTTAACGTTTTAACCCCCTGATCCTGGCCGCAAGCCGCGCACCGCAGCCGCCCCAGCCTCGCCAGGAAGAACTGGAAAAATAGGAGCCGATCCCTCAGCTCCGCCAGCTTCCCGCGCACCTCCTTCTGTCGAGGAGCAGCAAAAACAGCACAAACAACAGTTTCCAGAGGTCCGCACGTATCGCCGAAACTTTAGGCTTATATTTTTTTGATATTCGATTCTGGCTTGGTCGGATGATCGCACCGCATCGCCGATGCGTAGGCGACGTCGGCGATGCATCGGCGCCGTCGGCGTGGAGTGTGGTTTCGGTCGATTCGACAGCATGTCGATCGCCCTTCCGCCGAACTTCCGCCGCGGTCTCCGATCTCTCTCTCCATTGCTGCTCTCACCGTGTATCCCGGTGCCCATCTCGGCCCCAATAATTTGAGGGCCCTTGGTCATTGAGCTACGCAGATCGCTCGAACCGCGCTCGCTTTCGACAAGAAACCATCGGTGCCGCGCACCGTTCCGTATCACAGTGGTAGCTGGGAGCGTGCGAGCCCCCGCAACATCACGGCGCCGGTGCCTGTCGTGCCGCCGAGCACGACACACTCCTTATCCAAGATGACGGCCGCGCCCTCGTCCGGAGAATCGACGCCCAGCGGCGTCCTCGTGCTGCTCATAGCAGTCACTATCGCCCCTCATTGGCTTCTTCCTGGACGTCAGCGACGCCCAGCCTAACGCCCTCATTGACTTCATCCTGGGCGCCAGCGACGCCCAGCCTAACGCCCTCATTGACTACCTCCCGGACGTCAGCGGCGCCCTACCCGACGCGTTCTCTCAGGACTTCAGCGAAGCCCTTTTGCTCAATTTCACGCTCTCCCAGGACTTCAGCGAAGCCCTCTCGCTCCATTTCGGTCTCTCCTGGGACTTCAGCGAAGCCCTCTCGTTCTATTTCACGCTCTTTCAAAAATTCAGCGGGCCCCACGTGTAGACTTTCACAACGGACCAGACCGCCAAGCACGCAGATACAATGACGGATCAACACAACAAATACGGCCAATCGATCGTTCCCACGTGGAACGGCGACCCCGCCAAGTGGAGGGACTACAAGCAGGAGGTGAAGTTTTGGAAGCTCAGCGAGAACTTAAAGGTCACCCTGAGTCTCGCATCCAAGCTCGTGCTCAAGCTGACGGGGACGGCGAGGACAGCTGCGCTCAGCATGACGGAGGAAGAACTGCGCCCGCCAGCTGCGGACTACATCGAAGACGTGGGCGAGTTGAAGCGCAACCGCAACCAGGTTGGCATCGAAAGTGTACCCAAACACCTGAAGGCGAGCCTAAGTCAGCAGAGGCCGGGGCAGAAGTGTGAGACTCTAGAAAAGTTGGTCGAGTCGGCTCATCACCGTCGCCGGCGTCGTGAACGCATGACGGACTGGCTCATTCGATTCGAGACTGGTCTCCAACAGCTGCTTGAGAACAAGGTGGATCTCAACGCGCTGGACGACGTAGCCGGATGGTCTCTACTACGCAAGGCGGGCCTCGCGGCAGAGCGACGCGAGCGCGTCGTGGGCAGCCTGCCGGATGAGCACTACGGATTCCAACGCATTCGTGGCCTGCTGGTGAAGATGTTCCCAGACATCCACAGCTCAGAGCGCCGCGCGCCGCAGCCGCCGCGGCCGTGGAACAATCAGTCGCGTCCTGCTGGCGGCTGGAAGCCCGCCTCGCATCGAGGAGGCGCTCGACCGCTGTCGTCGACGAACTGGAAGACGACGACGAAGAGCAGGACTATGGGGGCGAAGGCGAAACCGAGGTCGAAGTGCAAGACGTGGATCGCCGGGGGCTCGAGGCGTTCGCTGCCGAGCTCGAGTCCTCCGAGGTGTTCGACGGTGGCGACTCCGCCACGGTCGAGGCCGCCGCGGCGGAGCTCGCCGCGATTCCCGAGGCCATGGCCGCCATCAGATCGGCCCGAGAAGCCCTCAAGGGCCGCGGCAAGTCGGGCGGCAAATCGACTGGGGCACGTTGCCCCGGCGAGCTCCAGAGCCGCGTCGACTGGCGCGAGAACGCGCCCATGTGCTGGAATTGCGGCGAGACGGGGCGCTGGACTGGAGTGAAGGAGCGCCCCGAGCCCAGTGCGCGCAAGTTTGCGCCCGAGGACAAGCAGGGGGGCAGTCGCGATGGGGGCCGAGGTGGCAAGCCCCAGCGACAGGCGCGCATCACCGAGCAGGTTTAGTTTGTTGACGAGGAAGCGCCTCTACACCCGCAGGGGCCGGTGACGCCTCCTTCGGAGGCGTGCGTCTCCGAGCGGTTGCTCATCTGCCGGACGTCGACGCATCGGCCAATTGAAAGAAGCCCGTGGACGAAGGGCTGTGTAGACGACATTGCCTGCCTTTTCTGCGTCTCGGGTCGCAAATGGTACGATGACTACAAAGATTTGTTTGCTTGCTCAGATGGGCATAGCCGACCGGGTCCTCGAGGGGCCCGAGGACGAGGTCTACGTGTTCGGCAACGGGGGTGCTCTCCCTAGCAAAACGCGCATGGCCGCGCCGCCTGTGCTCTGCGGCCGGGCTGGCCGCGTCGTGTTCAGTGTCGTGGGCAGTCCCGTGCTGGGTCTCCTCGTCGGACGAGATTTCATCCATCCCTCCAAGACCGACATCTCGCTCTGGAAGGCGCAGATTCGCATCATAAATGTTACCCACAAGCTCGTCGCGAGCAGCGCGGGTCACCCCGCGATTCGTCTGCGGACTGAGGGCTGGCGTGCGATTAAAGACGCTGGCGCCGAGTTCCCTGCTGGGCCGACTGGGAGGACCAAGGCGGATAGTGCCCCGACCATCAACCATGCCATCAGGGCGGGATCGCTGACCGCGTCCATCAGCGAGCTCATCAACAATAAAAAGATATGCGTGCCAAGGCGCCTACAGCCTCGCCGATTCAAAGGGTCCAAGCTTATGTCGGCTGTGGCGTCAGCATTAGCGTGCTGCTCTACGGCAACAACTACCCCAAACCTCACTATGACGACATTGCCGCCGCCGCTTCAACCCGTGACGAATGTTGCCGAGTCGTCACAGGGCTGCATTTCTTGCGGAGAAAAGTCCCATGGGGCTTGCAGCCGCATGGGCTTCTGCCCGGAGTGCGCGTTTGGCACCTCGGTGACCCTGGGCGACTACGCCGAGGATGCCAACCTACAGGGGGTCAACATCGTGGAGGAGGAGCAACTCAAGGTGAGGAGCCTGGAGAAGGGGACGAAGCCAGTGCTAATTGCAGGCAAGCGCACGGCTTTCGCTGTCAACGAGAGCGGCATTCGGCCGCGCCAGGTCCACCAGGCCCTGATCACTGACATGGCCAGGTTTACTACGATACCCAGGGCGATCAACACCACGAGCGACACAGTGCTCTACGAGTGGTGCTGCAACCCGAACAGCAAGCTCAGCGCAATCTGGACGTTGAATGGAGGAGCAGCCGTCAGGTGTGGGCTAGTTGCCTACAGCCTGTCGCGACGTTTCGTGGTCAACAAACTTGAGAGCAAGATTAAGGCGGCCCTCGCTCGTGGCAAAAACGTCAGAGTCCATGCTGCGTTTCCGTGCCAACCATGGACTTCCTTACAGCGACTTGTTATCAATGTCGACCCTGGGAATATCCCGAGGCTTCAGCAGGGCAGAGCCAAGTCCGAGCAGAAGATCGGTCTGCTCCTGCAGTCGATGTCCTGGCTACGCAAGGAGTTCGGCAGGCAGCTTGCCGTCTCATTCGAACGGCCGAGATGCTCCGACGGATGGGGCCCCGGCAAAAACGCGACCGCGAGGAAGTTGAAGGAGCAGCTGCCGCGGGTCTTCGACTTCGACGGCTGCGCGTTCGACCTGCAGACGAAGACAGGGGTCCACGCCGAGAAGCTTTAGGGGATCCTCACCGACCACTGCGGATGCGACGACGCGATGAGGAGGTTCTGCGACAAGGCGCGCCCTCGCGCTGAGGCGCGTGGTCAGGGCGCTAAGAACAGCGAGGCTTACACGCGCAAGTTCGGGGAGGTTTTGGCCGACCAGCTACGACAACCAAATCGACCTCCACGAGGAACGCGCCCAACCCGGAGGGCGAGGAGGTCGGTTCCAGCGGATGCGGTCTCTCTGGGGCCCGCGCTGACAGCCGCGGAGGAGCGAACCAGATCCGCAGTGATGCAGCACCACGCGGACACGGGGCACCCTTCCAACGACTCGCTGGCCCGGGCTATCCGAGTCGCAGGCGGATCACAGAGAACGGTCGAGATGGCCCTCGACCTCCACTGCGAGGTCTGCGCCGCACATCAGCGACCACTGCCGCACTTACCTTGAGAGATCAAGCTGGGCCGCGACTTCTATGACTCCATCGGGGTGGACCTTTTCACCTTTGCCGACTATGCCGGTAAGCAGCTGATATTTCTCAATGTTGTCGACCTGGCTTCAGGTTTGACCCTGTGCGGCACCGTTCTCTCGAGTCACCCCTCAGTTGCCTTCGCTCGACTGCCGCGGATGTGGATTGCACCTTTTGGCGCGCCTCAACGCGTCATCTTCGATGGAGGAGGTGAGCTCGAGCGAGGGCTCGAGGACGTGGGCCGCCGCCTGATGACTACCGCTGCGGCTTCGCCGCAGCAGAAGGCCTCCGTGGAGCGACGCGGAAAATTGTGGAAGGTCCACGCCAGGAATCAGATCGACCAATTCAGCATCAAGTTCGGCCAGCCCGAGACAGCTCATCGCATCCAATGGCTGGCTGCTCGCGCCGGTGTGCTGGGCTGCGAGTAGTCAGGTCAACGCTTCCGGCTTCTCGCCCTCTCAATGGGTGCTCGGGCGAGGACTCCAACCGCCGTGCGTTTTGCTGGGCAGTGCCGGCAGACTTTCTCTGCGCGAGCGAATCGTGTCCGACAGGCCGAAATCCGAAAGAGTTGCCATCGCGAAGGGAGCCCGGGCATCCATCCAGCAACTTCGGTTCGACCAATTCCTTTCAAGGGTGCTGCTGGCGCGGTCCGGGGCGGATGGAACAATGCGCCGCCGACGTTTGCCAGGCGGACGGTCAGGTGTGCTACTGGTGAGGCAGCGGCGTGCCCGAGCGTGGGCGGGCGTTGCAGAGGCGCGGGCCTGGCGTGATCATCGGTTTCGAAAGTGCCGCCAACGTCTGGGCCAACCGCCGCGCTGCGACCGTGAAGGTCAACCGCGGACGCCTGCGTCGTGCAGCGGCTTCAGAGCTCGCGCCGTGGGGGCAAGTGCTGAGCGGCTGAGCGCCGAATGGCAATCCGCCGCCAAGGCCACCGCCGGGCCCACCTCCCGGCGGGCCGCCAGAAGACCGGCCACCACCGCCTCCATGGTCTGGAGGAGGAGGAGGCGGAGGAAGTGGACCAACACCACCCGATATGGGCGAAGATACCTTCCTCCACCTTGCGGGCACCTCTCCGCCAGATGCGAGACCGCGCTGACGACGTGCCTGAGCCGCCTCAACTACCGGCGCCGCCTGAACAACAAGCCTTGCCAGCGCTGACGCAACAACGAGCCCTGCCTACGCGCCGTTCTGGTAACGTCGAGGGAGCGGCCGCGAATCGCAAAGCGCGCGCGTTTGCTGATGGCTTAGACGCAAGCAGGGCGACGGTGAGATAGTTCTCTACCAGTGGAAGCGCGGGCGGCAGTGGCGCCGCGCCGCCGGCGCCCTCGGGGGGAGACGTGGCTGCTGCTGCAAGGCCGCCGCCTGCAGTGCCCGCCCATTCCGACGACTTGGGCGCTGCTCCTACAGCCGCCGATCCTGCCGCTACGGGGCCCGCGATGCCGGAGCAACTGCCTCGAGGCCCCATCGACGACGACCAGAACGACAATGTATCCGACAGCTCGGGATCGGACATGATCCGAGAATGGGGCGAGGTTGCGGAGAAGCGAGTTCGGCGAGAAGCGGTGGCTCGGCGACCACTGGGCACCGAGAACCAGCGCGGGACTAAGACCCGGCGCCAGCTGCACCAGGAGGGCGCCCCGCATGCACTCCAACGAGATCGCCGGGAATACCTCGACCCGCGCGAGCGCGCCAACAAGCGCGAGGAACTCTTGGACAATTTGCACATGTGCTTCAAGAGGCCGAAAGATACCTTCAAGGCCGACGTCTTCCTGGACAACCATTTCCAGACTCACCTGGACGAGATCTCCTCGTCCATTCGACTCCGTGAAGTCGCGCTCGCGGGCAGCGCGACTTCGAAGGAGCTGAAGTACGATGACCTCGGCGGCAAGGAGAAGAAGAGCATGGGCATCGCAATGAAGACCGAGTGGTCCAAGTTGATTGAGTTCGGCGCCTGCGAGACGCTCCCTGCCGAAGAGCTCGAGGAGCTCCTGCGTCGCAGCCGCGGCGTCCGCCCTGCGGGGGCGCGTTGGGTGCTGACCAGGAAGGGCCAAGACGTCATGATGGCCCAGCTGGTCGCGCAGGGCTGCAGGGGAGATAAGTCGCAGATCAGGACAGGCGCGCCTACAGGATCGAGGGGCGCCTTGTGTTTGACCCTCGCCGCTGCGGCTCAGAAGGGTTGGGACCTCGAGTCCTGCGACGCGATGACGGCCTACCTGCAGTCGGGGAACATCGAGAGGCTACTGCTTCTGCGCATCCCAGCCAAAAACCCACCGCCAGGGATTCAACCGGGCGAGATCGCGATGGCCACCGGCGTGATTTACTGGGCGCGCGACGCGGGCTGGCAGTGGCACCCACGCGCGCGGAAGGTCTTCGTCGAGCAAGGCCTCATCGAGAGCAGGCTCGAGAAGGGCCTCCACTACTTCTACGACGAGAAGGGGCTCGCCGCCGTGATCCACTCACGCGTGGGCGACTTCCTGATCGCTAAGCGCACCAGCTCCAACCGCTGGAAATCCATGACCTCCTCGCTGGAGAAGCAGTTGCACCGCGAGACGGTCGAAGGGGTCATCAAGTACAGTAGACATATCATCACCGAGCTTGACGACGAATTCAGGGTGACCCAGGCCACCGCCGCCGCGCAGGTGGACTTCATATATCTCATGGCCGAACGAGCCCGAGGTGCATAATACCGACTCACTACCTCAGACGTATAGAGCTACCGACACGCGCTCGGGCAATTGCTTTGGCTGGCAGCCCAGACCCGGGTCGACGTCGCCAGCCTGGTGAGCTCCGCCGCTCGCCGCGCGAAAATCGCCACCGTGGCCAGCGCCAAGAGGCTGAGCAAGACCGCCGCCTACGTGCACTCCAGCGCGAACTTCGCGATCGTGCTCAAGCGGAACCTCGTCGACCTGATGGCGTGCACTACCGCGTGTTTCAGCGACGCCGCTTTCGCGAACGTGGACGGGGTCAAGAGTCAGTGGGGCAGGGTGGTGGGGCTCACGCGTTGTCCTCGGGGCGTCATCGGAGGCCGGATCGACCGCTGCTTGCCCGTGGCCTGGCATTCAGGCACAGTGAAGAGGTCGGTGAAATCGACCTTCGCTGCCGAGGGCTATTCGACCCTCGAGGGAGCGGAGACCAACACCTGGTTCCGCCAGCTGCCCACCAAGGCCTGTGACCTTAAGAAGTCGCTCGAGATGATCGACGAGTTCGCGGATAAGCGACCTGGGCAGATTTGCACGACAGTAAGGGCCTCGTGACGCACATTCAATCTAATGTGGGCCAGTCTACGGACAAACGATTCCGCATCACCGCCTCCATGATCAAGGAGACCATACATCCGAACAGCGCCCTGCGGCTCAATTGGGTTCCTACATGGGCCATGGTCGCAGACGCCTTGACGAAGACGATGGAGGCCGGCGCGCTGCTCTCCTTCTTCGGGGCCCGCAGGCACACCCACGGCACCCGACAGCCGCGCGCCGCCATGCTCGCCTGCCTCGGCAAGGTCAATGGGGTAGCCTACACCATCGCCTATTTCGCCCAACGACTTCATGTTCTACTGCTGCACGTGCTACATGACCTGCTTAGCCTTCTTTCTCGGCATTATCCTCGGGCGTGGCATATTCGTAAGGCTGTGGGCGGTCTTGAGGCAGAATCACCTGCTCTTGCCGTGCGGGCCTCGGCCTACGGGAGAAGACGGTGAACATCCTGGTTGGAACGGACGACGTTTGGACAGGCGCAACTACTCCATGAGACAACCGACCATCCTAGAAGAGCAAGATCAATATGGTGACATCTACATGCCACCCGTGGGCGGTCATGGCAGTGGCCAAGCATCGGGTTCGTCGGCAGCCAGCGCAACCGCCAGCGCCACCGCCAGCGCGCTGCAGCCGCCGCTCCCGCCACCTGTACCGGCGGAGCCACAGCTTGCGAGCTCACCGCCGACACCGGCACCGGTGATTGGATCGTCAGCACCATCATCACCGAGCGTGGTTTCCGTCATCAGTTCCTCGAGTACAAGCGTGATCTCCCGGAACGGATCTACGCCTACGATCGCACCGCTGGAGATGAACTCTTGTGCGGTGGCAGCGCCACCGCAGGACCTGTCGGACATAATCACCGCAGCGTCTACGTCACCTGCAGGACCTGTCGGAAGCACGCATCGTGGCTCTTGCGCAATTATTGAGATCATGAGCCTGATTTCTCGCAGATGCACTACACACTGAGGTGGGAACTGAACCATCGTTGGAGGCAACTCACAGGGAACTACCCGACTACGAAGGGCAGCATGGCTGCAAAGGCTGAGTGAATGATTTTCCCCCCGCCAGTGCGTTGCTCAAATTTCTTTGGCAGGTCGCAGAGCGACCCAAATTACGTAAGTCCGCATTGCACTATTTCGCCGTGTATCTTGACGGTCGCAAGACGACCCCTCTGCCACGTAAGTTCTCATTACATATTTTGTTTTCCTGATTTACACATCGATCTGCAATATAGGTAGCAAGAAGCTCCCTATTCAGTGTACGCAGTATATTTTATGTGGTGACGATCACACTCGCGTTTTTGCCTTCTCTTATCACAAGGTGATGAGAACCTGCCAAGCGCCCGCCGCGCGGATGATTTTTTAATTAAAACGAGTGTACATATATACATATGCATATATCCATAGGCACCTCTCTCTATATCTATGCATCTGTGTGTGTATATATATAGAAAACTTTGTGCAGCTCACCCGTTAATAGCCCGACGCTCCCTGGTGCAAGCCGTGTCAAGCCTTTTGCCTGCCCCTCTCGCGTGAGAAATGCCGTGTCCGGAAATCTCGCCCAATCGAGATAATGAAGTTGCGACCGAACTGCAATGTTCGTCGCCTCGACTGCCCGAGGCGCCAAACAGGAGGAGTGTGGTTTCGGTCGATTCGATAGCATGTCGATCGCCCTTCCGCCGAGCTTCCGCCGCGGTCCCCGCTCTCTCTCCATTGCTGCTCTCACGCTGTATCCCGCTGCCCATCTCGGCCCTAATAATCTTAGGGCCCTTGGTCATTGAGCTACGCAGGTCGCGCGAGCCGCGCTCGCTGAAGCCATCGGTGCCGCGCACCGTTCCATATCACATGGAGAACATCGGGCTCCACATAGGGCCGCATCGCCGACGCATCAAGGATTCGGCGCGACCCTCCGAACCCATCTGCTCGGACCCAGCCTGGGAGGCCTAGATCCTTCTGGCTGAACTTCCGCGAGCTCCAGCCGTGTATCGCGATGCCCGTGGTGAGCACGGCGCCCAGGATGATCCCCACAGGCCCGAGCACTGGCAGCGCCGCCGCGGCCTCGTCGCTGAGCATGGCGACGCCTAGCAACGCGGACCTGGCCACGCCCGCCGCGGTCGACTGCCGCTGCGGGCCCTCCTTCGGAGAAGGAACAACTCGGTGGTTCAAAGGTAGGGTCTTGAGGGATGGGGTCCAAAGGACGAGGTGCCTCAAACAATGTAATCCACCCTTGGATCCCTTCCTATCCCTAGGACCCCATCCCTCAGGACCCCATCCTTGCTTGAACCACCGAACAACGGCACGAACATCACCTTTCGGAGGTCCGCGTGGATTTCTTGGATCGGCGCTGGCCCCCTTGGCGGGCTCCGCGCGCCAGGGAGGGGAGCCCAACGCCGATGCAAGAAATACGCGCGGATCTCCGAACATTTATGCCTATGCCGTCCTTTCTTCCTCGACTCCTGCTCGCTCTCGCGGGCGAGCTGCCCGAGCCCAGCGACCTCAGTGGCGCGGACCCACTCCTCTCGATGATCCTCAAAAAGTGCATTAGCACCATCGCGTGTTTGTCCACCGAAGCCCATGCGACGCAGGCAGCCTAGTTTAATTTTGCCAACGCGGGCTGCGTGCGATCGACGGGGTGAGCTGGGTAAACGCACTTTGAACTAACACACGCCCCGAAAATCATGGATCCTCGAAGGCACCCGCGATTCAGACAGCGCCCGGAAAACCGACCCGAGCCGACGGCACGGTCGAGCTGAGCAGAACTGAAGCAGCGAGCCAACTCCTGGAGGGCGTCCACCATTGGCCAACGCTCGAGGGCCGATCGAACCTGGCAGCACCACCGAGCCGATCCGAAGCGGCAGCGTGAGACGCCCGCACATGGAGGAGAGGTGCCCCAGGGTCTCCAGAAGTCCCTGAAGGTCGCCCCAAGTCTCCAGAGGCATTCAGAGGCCACTGGACAACCCACAGAGGTAAAACAAGTCAAGATCTGGGTGTTCCTCTTCGCTCGTAAGAGGCATGTTAATTTCGCTGCCCGTGTCGCAGCTCCTGGGTGCCGAGTGCCCCCTCGCGTCGTGAAAAGTAGTGGTGTTCTTTGATCGTTGCCATTTTGGACATCTAGGGGGCCTCTACCAGGCCCCGAGGATGTCAAAAAAGACCCACGATGAAAAGCTAATCCGGGGGAAGGGGTCGGGATCTCCAGGGGTCCACGCTGTGAAAAACCGCAGCGTCGGGAATCTGGGTAACGTTCGACTCGGAGACGATCGGTACATCCGCCACCGTGCCGCTGGGCACGGAGTGGGCGTGTCCTCAGGTCATTTGCCCAATCCCCTGAGCCTCAATCCTCACTCCTGAGGAATCTTTTTAAAGGGGCCAAGAGATCCCCAAGAGACCCCGAAGATAATCCAAGAGTGCTCCGAGTCGCCGGCATATCGTTCCAAGACGCCTAAGACGACTCCAAGACGGTCCGAGGGCTCCAAGAGGCAAACATCATTGATTTTCCCTTGGTTATTCCCAGCCCTCCTATGGTTGGGTACTCGTTTTGAATAGAGCAGTGTGGTCGCCCCGTCCTCCTCCTCCTCCTCCTCCTCTCCTCCTCCTCCTCCTCCTCCTCCTCTCCTCCCCTCTCCTCCCCTCTCTCTCTCAAGTTTCCTGTGTTCCCTTCTCCTCTTCTCTCGTGCCGTCTGCGATCTGCGCAACCGTCGCCACTTTCGTGGGCTCCTGGGAGGCCCAGCGGGGGTACGTCCCACGCGGACCACCTCGGGACCTCGCCGCCTCCTGGGGGGCTTGCGATCTGCGCAGCTGTCGCCACTTTCGTGGGCCTCTGGGGGGCCCAGCGGAGGTACGTTCCACGCGGACCACCTCGGGACCTCGCCGACCCCTGGGGGGCTTGCGATCTGCGCACCTGTCGCCACTTCGTGGGCTCCTGGGAGGCCCAGCGGAGGTACGCCGCCCCTGGGGGGCTTGCGATCTGCGCAGCTGTCGCCACTTTCGTTGGCTCCTGGGAGGCTCAGCGGAGGTAAGTCCCACGCGGACCACCTCGGGACCTCGCCGACCCCTGGGGGGGCCTGCGATCTGCGCAACTGTCGCCACTTTCGTAGGCTCCTGGGAGGTCCAGCGGAGGCACGTCCCACGCGGACCACCTCGGGACCTCGCCGACCCCTGGTGGGCTTGCGATCTGCGCAGCTGTCGCCACTTTCGTGGGCTCCTGGGGGGCCCAGCGGAGGTGGGTCCCACGCGGACCACCTCGGGACCTCGCCGCCCCCTGAGGGGGCTTGCGATCTGCGCAACTGTCGCCACTTTCGTGGGCTCCTGGGAGGCCCAACCGAGGCACGTCCCACGCGGACCACCTCGGGACCTCGCCGCCCCCTGGTGGGCTTGCGATCTGCGCACCTGTCGCAACTTTCGTAGGCTTCTGGGAGGCCCAGCGGAGGTACGTTCCACACGGACCACCTCGGGACCTCGCCGCCCCCTGGGGGGGCTTGCGATCTGCGCAGCTGTCGCCACTTTCGTGGGCTCCTGGGGGGCCCAGCGGAGGTACGTCCCACGCAGACCACCTCGGGACCTCGCCGCCCCCTGGGGGGCTTGCGATCTGCGCATCTGTCGCCACTTTCGTGGGCTCCTGGGAGGCCCAGCGGAGGTACGTCCCGCATGGACCACCTTGGGACCTCGCCGCCCCCTGGTGGGCTTGCGATCTGGGCTCCTGTGAGGCCCAGCGGGGGGGGGCTAGCGATCTGCGCAACTGTCGCCACTTTCGTGGGCTCCTGGGAGGCCAAGCGGAGGTACGTCCCACGCGGACCACCTCGGGACCTCGCCGCCCCCTGGGGGGGCTTGCGATCTGCGCAACTGTCGCCACTTTCGTGGGCTCCTGGGAGGCCAAGCGGAGGTACGTCCCACGCGGACCACCTCGGGACCTCGCCGCCCCCTGGTGGGCTTGCGATCTGCGCAACTGTCGCCACTTTCGTGGGCTCCTGGGAGGTCCAGCGGAGGTACGTCCCACGCGGACCACCTCGGGACCTCGCCGCTCCATGGGGGGGCTTGCGATCTGCGCAACTGTCGCCACTTTCGTGGGCTCCTGGGAGGCCCAGCGGAGGTGGGTCCCACGCGGACCACCTCGGGACCTCGCCGCCCCCTGGTGGGCTTGCGATCTGCGCAGCTGTCGCCACTTTCGTGGGCTCCTGGGAGCCCAAAAGGCTTCGAAGACGCCTAGGATGGCCTCCAAGATGGTCCTGGAGCACCCCAAGAGGCCCCCAAGTCGGCCCAGGGAGGCCCCCACGATGGTTTCCGACGGCGTCAGATGGGCCAGGAATACCCTACGACAGCCGAACTGGCTCCGAGAAGCCCCCAAATGCCTCCAAGAGGCCCAGGGAGGCCCTCAAGATGCCTCCAAGAGGCTCCCAGGAAGCTCCTAGGAGGCGCTAACCATGCCCCCCAGAGGCTCCCAAGATGCCCCCTCCTCCTCCTCCTGATCTTTCCCGCCATCCTCCCCCAATTGTTCCCCGAAAGGTTTCCACAACGGCTGGGGGAACACATGGTCCGATAACTTGGCAGAGCTCGTACCACAACGCTCGGCCGCATGGGCGATTCTGAAAGGCAGGGGGCGGCGGTGATTCGCCGTAGGCGTCTTCGATACGACAAGGGATCTTTCTGTCAGAGGTCTTGGGGCAGGTTCCTGGTCGATCATTGGAGGTCCGAAGGTGCCCCAGAGCCTCTGTGGGTCCCTGGGGCCGTCGGCGGACCATGGGCACAACGGCGTCGCTCCTTGAGCAGCTCGGCGGCCACGAAGGCGTTCCAGCCGTCCCGGGACAATTGGCTCCTGAGCCTGTGCGGGGCGGGCGCGCTGCTCGCACCGGCTGCCCCTCTTGCATATGCCTCCTCCAAGACGAGGCCAGGAGTGGGACAGTACCCCAGCAAAGCGCCCTAATAGCAGCACAGGTGAAGAGGCGGGTAGAGGAATAGGCGGTCGGCTATAAAAGTACAAGGGTGAGATCACGGCCATGTGCATCTTACTGTATTTTTGCAAAAAAGGTCGTGCCCGTCCGGATCAAAAATGAGACCAGCCGATACTGCTGAAGCGAGACCACGATTCCTGAGTACATTGTGAGGCAGTCCTAGGCGGAACGGCTTCCGTCTCTGGGCGGGTGCGGACTCCCCGTCCCCCCCGTGGGGGCCCTCTGCGGCCGTTTTCGCACACTATGAAAGACCTCTAGCGCGACGCTAATTTTAAAACATCAGACCGGGGCAACATCGGAGATCTCTGATATCCGGAAATTGTGGACGATGCATCGGGCACCGCGACCGTTCCAGAGCGCTCCGCAACGATTCATCCCGGTCCTGGCCCCATTTGCTCTCGTACCGAAAAGGGTTCTCAAAGTTCGGGCTGATGCTGTCGTTCGGACCCACATCGTAAGGGGGTGCGTTCCACTTCATTCCACTTTTTGTGAACGGGAGGGAAGAATCAGAGGGAAAAACCTGCCAAGGATCCGTAGGATAGAGGCGATATACTTTTTCTCCTGTGGCAAGCAGAGGTGGTCATGTATCTAATCTGCCAAAATCTGGGCCGAAAGGGCAGCGGATGGGGAGAGGAAGTAGGCGAGGGAGGAAACACAGACACACTTCTCTCTTCCCCCCGGTCACTCCCACCTCACCTGGCCCTCCTCCAGGCCTCCCTTGTCTCGCCTCCTCACCTCCTCCTTGAGGGAACAACATGCGCAACCCAGGGGCGGCTTCTATGTTTACCGGTTTATCGATCCCCCGTGTGATTGGGGTGGACGACGACGACGACGACGGAGACGGCGACGACGGCAACGACGACGACGACGGCGGCGACGACGACGACGACGACGGCGACGGCGACGGCGACGACAGCGACGACGGCGGCGACGACGACGACGACGGTGACGACGACGACGGCGACGGCGACGACGGCGACGGCGACGAACACGAAGACAACAGCGACGACGACGACGACGGCGACGACGGCGACGGCGACGACGGCGACGACGGCGGCGACGACGACGACGACGACG